TTTTTGCGGTACATGGGCCTCTCACTGCTGTGGCCTCTCCCGTTGCGGAGCACAGGCTCCGGACGCGCAGGCTCAGCGGCCATGGCTCAGGGGCCTAGCCGCTCCACTGCATGTGGGATCTTCCCGGACCAGGGCACGAACCTGTGTCCCCTGCATCGGCAGGCGGACTCTCGACCACTGCGCCACCAGGGAAGCCCTCCTGTCCTCATTTTTAAAGGGCTTTGTTTCGGTCAATGAGACATACACTGTGGAAACAAGGCCAACACAAACTTTGTGGTGCCTTTTCACTGCACATCTAACTAACCTTGGTTAGATGTAAGGCATGGGGCTGGTCTGCCATCTTAGTCCCTAAAATTGGTTTCAGAGGAATTGGTTGTAATGGAAATGTCAAGCCCTTTAAATATCAAACCTTTAAATACCATGCAGGCATATGGATGTGAACATAACTCTGCCCATTCTTAGATTCTGCTATGTCACATGTCAGAATTAAAGGAAGAAGCAATGAAATAAACTCTTGTTCTGGAAGAAGTGACTGAAACAATTGGATATTGTGAATGGATGAGGCCAATTTGTTCATCTTTAGAGTAAATCCTTTCTATGAAAGAGCCAAAATGAGATCTGTAGGACATTGGCAGCTGTGAAATTATGCACATGCCTCATTGTTCCTTCTACCCCACTTCTTCTCATGCCCTGGAGGACTACTTTTCCTTGAAATTAAGCAATTGTGAGAGCAGCTCTTTGCAAATGAGTTCAGGAAACTTGCCCTTTGAAAAATAATAATAGTAAAAAAATCTCCTAGTATTGGAGAGAGCAATAAAGTCTACTGTTCTGTGCCTAATATAGATTAAGTACTAATTCAATATTTATTGAGTTGAATTGAGTTCTGCTGATGACTGGGGACTGTATTAGGCTGAGAAGACATGGACTCGAGTCCCACTGTGTTCTTAGCTAGCTGTGTGACCCTGGGCAAGTCACTTAAACTCTTTAGGCTATGGTAAAATAATGATTAAAAATACCTACCATGTATGAGGGGCGTGTCTAAGAACATGATCGCCAAAACTTCTTTGAAAGTATAAGGTATAAATAAAAAAGATGAAAGTGATGTGCAGCGAGGGCCCTTTAAATGAAGAGCAGAGTGAAATGTTAACAAGTTCAAGCATGATTGAATCAATTGCTTTTAAAGAGATACGTGGTTGGGGGGAACGGCACATACGTCGATATTAGAAATAAGGCCTCTCCTGGGAGTCCTGAAGCCGTGCACGGTCTATAATTCTGTGGAATTGCACACATGAACTTGCTAAGTGCTGCCCAGAGAAAAGGTCTTAGGCCGAAGGAGGTCTGAAAACTCTGTCTGACAAATAATATCTTAGGAAAATATCAAATATTAGTCTTGGATCATGGAAATAGCAATATACTGATAGAATGACATTTCTTACAGGGAGGAAGTCTTTTAAAGTCACTTCACATAATGAGCTGGCTCCAGTTACAGGCTGGAGATATTCTGTCACACTGTAGAGGCTGTTTCTGTAGTTGAAATTATAGGGCATGGGATGTTTAACCACTTCTGCGGTACCGTTCGGCTTGGTCTTCTCAACTCTATCAGCACAAAAAAGAAACTAACGTTTCTGGGGCAACTACCATGATGGGCCAACTATATTGCATTTAATATCTTGTTTAATTGAAGTCGTTTGGTTTGGTTTGGTTAATTATCTGTCATTTTGCAGATGAGAAAATGAGGACTGAGGTTTAGTAGTGTGCTGGTGACAGGGGGAGCCAGGTTCTGCCAGCCTTACTCCATGGCCCATGTACTTTTTGGTGCACCAGTGTTTTCCCAAACTGAGTTCTACTGAAAGGCTCTGAGATCAAATAATTTGGGTACATGGTACATGCTCTTATCGCTTCTTAGAGATTTGTAAAACCTATTAACCGGTAAAAGGCTCAGCAGAGTCATATGATTAAGAGATTCTTAAAGATGCAGATGTAGCGAATGGACTTGAGGACACAGGGAGGGGGAAGGGTAAGCTGAGGCAAAGTGAGAGAGTGGCATGGACATATATACACTACCAAACGTAAAATAGATAGCTAGTGGGAAGCAGCCACATAGCACAGGGAGATCAGCTCAGTGCTTTGTGACCACCTAGAGGGATGGGATAGAGAGGGTGGGAGGGAGAAGCAAGAGGGAGGGGATATGGGGATATATGTACACATATAGCTGATTTACTTTGTTATATGGCAGAAACTAACACACCATTGTAAAGCAATTATACTCCAA